TGAGAAGAAAGTAATTGAGATCTATCAGTCTGGAAAGGGTTATAAAGCCATTTCCAAAGCTTTGGGAATCCAGCGAACCACAGTGAGGCCATTATCCACAAATGGCGAAGACATGGAACAGTGGTGAACCTTCCCAGGGTGGCCGGCCGCCCAAAATTACCCCAAGAGCGCAGCGACTCATTCAAGAGGTCACAAAAGACCCCACAACAACGTCCAAAGACAGCGCAGGCCTCACTTGCCTCAGTTAAGGTCAGCGTTCATGCCTCCACCATCAGGGAAAGACTGGACAAAAATGGCCTGCATGGCAGAGTTCCAAGGAGAAACCACTGCTGAGCAAAAGAACATCAAAGCTCATCTTTTTTCTCCACCACATCTTGATGATCCCCAAGACTTTTGGGACAACATTCTGTGGACCGATGAGTCAAAAGTGGAACTCTTTGGAAGGTGTGTGTCCAAGTATATCTGGCGTAGAAGGAACACTGCATTTCATAAAAAGAACATTATACCAACAGTAAAATATGGTGGTGGTAGTGTGATGGTCTGGGGCTGTTTTGCGCTTCAGGACAGGATAAAAGGAACTATGAATTCTGCTGTCTACCAAGAGATCCTGAAGGAGAATGACTCCGACCATCTGTTCGTGTACTCAAGCTGAAACGAACTTGGGTTCTGCAGCAGGACAATGATCCTAAACACACCAGCAAGTCCACCACCGATGGCTGAAGGAAAACAAAATGAAGACTTTGGGTGGCCTAGCCAAAGTCCTGACCTGAATCCTATTGAGATGTTGTGGTATGACCTTAAAAATGCCATTCATGCTCGAAAACCCTCTAATGTAACTGAATTAGGACAATTCTGCAAGGATGAGTGGGCCAAAATTCCTCCAGGACCAGTTATTAGGTTTAGCGGGCAATCACTTTTTCACACAGGGCCATGATGGTTTGGATTTTTTCACCTTTAATAATAAACACCTTCATTTACAAATTGCATTTTGTGTTTACTTGTGTTGTCCTTGACTATTGTTTAAATTGGTTTGATGTTCGAAACACTTAAGTGTGACAAACATGCAAAGGAACAGGAAATGAGGAAGGGGAAACACTTTTACACTCTATATATATATATATATATATATATATATATATATATATATATATATAATATATATATATATATATATATATATATATATAGGATTGGAATCTCCTCATATCAGCTGTATGAAATGATGCAATATGGAAGTAACCCAGATAAGTTTTCTCACACTTAAAGTAGGCCAACGTCAAAAGGAAAATTGAAGGGAATGTCAGTTCTGTAAACTCATGGAGAACATTATCTCTCCATTAATGTGTAAGTGATCTGTGATGTACATCTGATTCAGTCTAACATGGTTTCAAGCTGGTCTGTATCAATATTCCCTACTTTTATTGACAGACTGTTAAGTGCTCTTCTGCCAGATGGTGAACTGTAGAACTCAAGCAATCAACGGTTGTGGAATCAATTACACTACTGGATATAAGAGTCAAATAAACTTTCCGTCTATCAAACTTCCTGATTTGTAATGTCATTAAGTCCAACCATGAATCTGAGACAGACACTGCTCCACATAATATAAATGCCAGTACATTCCTAGGAGAAATTGCAATATATAATTCGGCACCCGGTCTATTTCAAGGTTACACGATAACATCTCATCCGTAATCCTACAGATAGCAAGCTAGACACAGTGACAAGAAAAAGATGTGTATTTTGTTTACTGAACAGTATTTGTTTAAAACTGTACAGACCTTAGTTTATAGCTAAGAAGGAGCTGGAATAGGGGTTTCAGCAGTGATGCCAGGAGATACCAGCATGGCTAGCAATGGAATCAATTGAACTCAGGGTTAATACATTCAAAGATGACAATAAGAAGGGTTAGACAGTATTTGCCAAAGTATAGAAAATATCATTCATAATTAATTAACAGTTCTTTTAATAATTATTTAATATGTGTAACTGTGTTACACATATGAACCCTTACATGCATTGGTCTCTTACTTGCATTACCTGTCCCATGATTGTTGTGATATACTGTACACTCCAACATCAGACTTTGATCATGGCATGGCTGTTGGTGACAGATGGACTGGATTGAGTATTTCAGAAACCACTGGGATTTTTACACACAACACTATCTGGAGTTTACACAGAATAGTGCAAAAAAAAAAGAAGAGAGAGATCAGAGGAGAATGTCCAGACTGGTTTGAGCTGACAGGAAGTTTATAGTAACTCAAATAAAGCACTCTGTAAACTCATGGTGAGCAGAAAAGCATCTCAGAATGCACAACACATCAAACCTTGAGGCGGATAAGCTACAACAGCAAAAGACCACATAAGGTTCCACTCCTTTCAGCCAGGAACGATCTGAGGCTATCATCGGCACAGACTGAAATTGGTGGAATACTGGCTTATATCTGTCAAATTGTGATTTGAAATGTATGGAATTTAAAAACGGATGGATTTGTAAATGATAACTTGAAGATTTGTTGATTGGCTGATGTACAGTATGTGGTGGGGCTCCGCCCACCTCACCCCTATGGATGAGCCAAAAGCTATGTAAAAGGAACATGAATATGCTCATCATTTAAAACACACCTTATACTAAAGGATAGCTGAAAGAAGATGATGGTTTAAAAAAACCACAATATCTTGCTGACATCTTGCAATATAGTTGAGACCTATATTATAGGCACAACTTCAGCTGTATCCAGATTTGGAAGAAATGACCTGTTTTGTATTCGAAAGGAGGCATTGCCAAAGCAAACATTTTATTCCTTTTTATATCCCAATGGGGAAAAAGACTATTGATGAACTAACTATGCTGTTAGTCCTATCACGATCTCTAAATTCACAGTGGCCTTCTTTTTTTCAATCTATAGCTGTGTTCCCCTATTTAAATGACTTCAGTGACATTGCTGGATTACTACACAATGTTCAAGTGCTTCAATAAAATAAATAAATAATATGCAGAGTTTTCTCTCTGGGATGATATATTAGGAAGAGAGGCATTTTCTAAAATAATGTTAACTATAAGAAACACGGTCAGATTCCAGCTCAGTGCAATATTTGTTGCTCATTAATACCAGTTACTAGAATTAGTCCAACTATTCAGTTTTGGCTGAACAATGGATTAAAATTTTTACATAAAGGTTCTGCAAATTATTTTAGAGTACGTGCATTGTTTATATTTATTTATCTATTATTTTTTTACCTCATGTTTGAAAAGAAAATATAGAGAATGTGCAAAATAGGTATAGCGCACAGAGGAAATGGCTACACATATGGTGTCAAATGTTACTCACAATAACAAGACACACCGCGATAACTAGATACAATGACAAGGCAGGCCAAATTCATAATGTCACTTTTCATTAATGTGAAGCCAGAATGAGATAAAGGGACAGTCATGGCCTGGATGAGTTGTAGAATTTTCTACAACCGTCGTGCTCTCATGAAAAGCAGATGTTTTGAGGAAACGGACTGCAGACCTCTACAGAAAAGCCAAGATCACTGCAAACTGCTGAAAGCTGTCTTCAGTCATAGTGGAGATATTGGAGATCCAGATCCCTTCTGCCTCTGGATGAGCCCAAATCTTCTGCTGGGACTACGGCTGCTTCTAAGGCCATACATACTTCTCATTTTCACATTATCTGTGTTACTTTCACATTCTGTGTTACCCAGATGAGGATGGGTTTCCCTTCTGAGTCGGGTTCCTCTCAAGGTTTCTTCCTCAAAAAACATCTTAGGGAGTTTCTCCTTGCCACCGTCGCCACTCAGTGGCTTGCTCAGTTGGTATAAATTCCATTTGTTTTATATCTGTTTGTCTCTGTTTATCTGTTTCTGACTGTTTATACTGTATATGTTTTTTTATTTCTGTAAAGCTGCTTTGATACAATCACTATTGTAAAAAGCGCTATACAAATAAAATTGAATTGAATTGAATTGAACTACCAATAGGATTTTATGACCCAGCGAATGATGTGCACCTTGCAAACTATTTGACACCTTGAGATGGCTCTTGGGCGCCAACTCGCAAAAAAAAAAAAAGCTATATATCCTTTTGTCAAATATTCATTCGTATTTGGAAGGGGTGTAACGATTCACAAAGCTAGATTCTCAACATTCGATTCTGAACATTCTGAACAAACTGTAACGAATATAAATTACCAGTGAAAATACACAATGTGCATTTTTGTCTGTATAAAACTAAACAAATCAAAGATTGTTATAATCAGAGGTCTAATATTGTAAAATGCGCTACTTCACTAAATCTAAAATAACTAACTAAATAAATAAATAAATAGATACTCCCAAAAATTTGATTGAATAAACAATCTCTGACCTGGGGAAAATGTCTGCTTGAAACATAATGAGCTCTGTAGCAGTACCTGAGGAACTCCGAAAGAGATAGTGCTCCAAAGTCGGCTAAAATACCCAGTTTCCACTGCCACTTTCTCAGGCACTGCGGATTGGAGCAGCATGGTGCTTGTGTTATTTAAAAGCTACTGAAGAGGTCTTTTTAAAGATTATAATGTGATTGTGTGACCATATAACCTATAATGCATGTTGGTCATTGTGATCTGGAGCTATCGCTTCACAAGTGCAGATGATTCCTGCTAATCTTGCAGGCTCTCCATGAAAGAATGAAATCATGTGACTAGTGTGCTCTCTATAGATTTGAACTCTACAGGTTGCGCAGATTGACACTTCTTGTGCTCAAAAAAAGTGCGATTGCAATTGCACAACGTGTATTTGGTATTCATGGTCCTGTACTGCCAACAGACTGTAATCATGACATAAATGCATCGGGTGAATCAACAAAACTATTTGGCGTCAGTTCTAATGAGAATACTAAGATGTGTTTAATTCTCATATGTGTGTGATTGAGGCAATATCAGGGTTCAACTACACGTCTGCTTGTTATAATGTGTGTAGTGGAGTGTATTGGAGAAGTAACTAAATACGGGGAAGTGGTGGCTTGGCGGTTAAGGCTTTGGATTACTGATCGGAAGGTCAGTGGGTTCAAGCCCCAGTGCTGCCAAGCTGCTTCTGTTGGGCCCTTGAGCAAGGCCCTTAACCTTCTCTGCTCCAGGGGCGCTGTATTATGGTTAACCCTGCACTCTGACCCCAACTTCCTGGTATGCAAAGAAAAATATTTCCTTGTGCATATGTATTTATGATCAATAAAGACTCATCTCATTTAAAAAAGACAGGGGTCTTCTTGGAAATCTACTTTAATGAAAGTTAAGCACAATGAGGTACAATGAGATTAATGGAGTTTTGCATATTCACATGGATTTTTCTCTGGGTTTGCCATGATGGATGGACAGACTTTATGACAAATGCAAGGCAAGGATTAATGTTGTACTGTTAATTAGCTAGTACATTATTGAACAATTTAAGTGTCAGGTAAGCAAAGCAAAATAACTTCAGCAGGTTTTGTGAAAACAAATTAGCAAGGAATCTGGGAGCCAAAAGAATCAGCTCTTATTGGTGAGCTCACATGACTCACTGAGCCAGAATTCTCTTTTAGTGCTTAGTTCACCTTGTGGTGTCCAGCTGCTGCCAGGTTTGTTTTAATTATGTTGTTAACCATAGAGATAAGCGTAGTGTTCCACTATCTGTCATATATACAAAGCGCAGAGGTAAGAGCCAAACATGGACTCTGACACCTTTGCCTGCTGTTACTCTTGTGTTCTCAGAACACTGTTTGGAATCCATCACTATAAAGATTTTCAAGCCTACGTGTTTATCCAAAATCTAAGGACATGTTCTGGGTGATAGCTGAGGAAGAAAGCACTGACATAAGGTTTCCTTTCAGTTACTGTGGATTAGAGTAACGTAGAGGTTCTCAGCATGACTGTGTTTAATTCATGCTAAAAGGTTATGTACAATATGCCCTGAGACCGAAGTAAAACACACCAGCGTCATCGAATCTAAAAGACAAGAGAAATATGAAATGATTTGAAATGAAATACAGTTTGAATGTGTTGAGTTATATCTTCCCCAATCGCACTGGGAATAGTTATTTGCGTTGTTTATGGATATTAATCATTACTGTGCAGAGTCCATCGTTTTTCATCGTGTGTTCTAGCAAGACAAGAGCACAAAGACACTCTGTCGTATATATATATCATAAATAATTCAGGCATAAACAGGAACACTGGCATGTAGTATTTATAGAGTCGGCTTTCATGTATAGGACAGTCTTTCGCTATAATATGTGGTTGTGTTTAAAAATTCAAACACCTTACAGGGTTTTTCCTACAGGTCGGTAACAGCCGTGAGGCAGACCAGGGCAGGGCACATGATGTTTATGTCTTGGCTGTAAAACATTTAACATCTTTGCAGCCTCTGGGACCAACATGCAACGTTTTCATGTGCACTGTCCATGCTACAGTTTGAGGATCTCTACAGTGATCTTAAAAGATTAAAAAGATTAAGGCTTAAAAGATTATATAACAGTGATGTAAAGCTACAAACCTACTTTCCCTCTCTGAAGGCTTTCACTCTGAGGGAAAATTCTCAAAACAAGGACCAGTAGGCTATTCAATGACTTAAAATAATAATAATAATAATAAATCTATAATTGCTTACAAGACGCTCTTATAATTCAAAATTGCACTTGGAGGAAAAAAAAAAAAAAAAAAAGTGTAACTGAAAATGTGATGGTTCACAAAAACAGATTTCCCAATAATTCATTGTTTTGCCCTCATACACTGCCATACCCAGTACAGCCATAGTAAACCCATGTACACATTGATAATCTGTTGAAGAAGCTTAAATCAAAATTTTGGTTCTTTTATCATTTAAAAAACTGCTTTCCTTCTGAGGCTAGAAAGAAAATAGTGGAGAGTAGCCTTCCAATTAATGTTCGGGACTCAGACACAATCTCTGTGTTTAAGTTTAGGCTGAAAACATATTTGTTTACTAAAGCCTACCATTGATAGACTTTCTTTTAGGCATAGTACACAGTCTTTTCCATTACTTATCTTTACCTCCCTCTCGCTCTCTCCTTCTGCCTGATCCATCCTGATGCCCTACCTCTGGTTGGAGCTCCCATTACCTCTAGGCTACAGCCTGGATACTGCTGAGGATGGTGCTGCTTGAAGTACCATGGTACCATGGTTTTGGACCTCAATTTAACATGGACATTCTCACTCTGGTTGCTGGGACTATGGTTGATGCTATGGCCTTGGAACTGCAATTACCACATACAGTTTTGCACTCAGGTCTCCTTTTAGTGAAAAGTGGAACAGTTCAACAAAACAGACTTCATATTAAAACCATAATAAACATTCTTTTACTTTCACACTATCCATTGTTACCCAGATGAGGACGGGTTCTCTTCTGAGTCTGGTTCCTCTCAAGGTGTCTTCCTCATATCATTTTAAGGAATTTTTCCTCGCACCGTCACCTCGCTCGCTCAATAGGGATAAATTCACACACTTAAAATCTGTAATCTGTGTTTATATATTTCTGTAAAGCTGCTTTGAGACAATGTCCATTGTAAAAAGTGCAGTACAAATAAAATTGAATTGAATTGAATACTTTTTTAAATTATTTATAATTGATTATGGTGACCTTTTTTATATGCATGCGGCTTCATCTTTACTAAGGAAACTGGACTCTATCATGCAGCGTTATACTTTATTTGTGGAACAGATTCACGGACTCATCACTGTATAGTATATGAATCATTGGCATGGACATCTTTGCATCATATGAGGAAATTCCATATGTATATGTTCATTGCTAAGTCACTTCTAGGTAAATCACTCTCTTATATTTCTAATCTCTTAACTTTTTATTCAAATAGTTATTGTGCTAGATCTCAATCACACATTCGGTTAAAAGTCCCAAAAGTATACTCAGAATTTGGCAAATGTGCATTTTCTGTTTATGCTCCATGGGCCTGGAACGATCTGCAAAATGTACTGTAGTTAAACTAGTGCTACTGCCAGCTCTGAATATTATTAAACGGCTTTTGTTGAAGGAGTGTTGTAAGTGCTTTTCTTGATTTTACTCTTATTAATTGTTTTCTATGGGTATTGTTTTCTGTGATTATCTCTGTGGGAAACTCCATGTGCTGCCACCTTGACCAGGTCTCCCTGGAAGAAAAGATATCTCAATGGAATCTTCCAGGTTAAACAAAGAATAATTAAAAATAAAATCCCAAATAACACAAAACTGCTTGTATAATAAGTGTTTGGTCTTTTGATATAGGAATGTTAACATGTTCTGTCTTGAAATACTAGTGTGATTCAACAGAACTCTATGAGCATCTCTCAGACTATACCAGTCAGCCAAAATTAGTGATTATTCACTTTCCATTACAGCAGGCCCTATTTCTTAACAAGCAATTTTAGAAAGACTGACCTTACAGGCCTGGAGAAGAGTTTTAGTGACTCTTGACATTTTCCCTGCTACAGCTCTGATGGAGTTCCTGCATATTACCTATGAACTGATCAAGAGTGGCGGAAATTGCCCTATTTTAATAACAGTTCATTTTTTAGAAGGACATTTTGTCAGAGAAAAGGCTTTTCAATCATGCTCCAAAGAGTAGGGACTATATACTTTTCAATTACACCACGATGGATGGTGATTAAGATACACAGAGAAAATTTAAATGCTCTTGATAAGCACTACGCTGTATCTTGGCAACTATGCACCTCTTTAAACAGCATCATGATTTACAGAAATACTGCTCATCATTACTAAAGCAGAAAGATTCTCTTCGAGCACTATGGTAATGATGGGTACGTCAGCTAGCTAGTGATATCCCATTAAACTGAGTGTTTTAAATCCATCTAATTTGTTTAAATACTGCTTTTCAGGTTTTATATAATGACTCATAGTCATTATATAAAAAAGATAGACATATAAAAACAACTGTAAAATAAATGATGATTCAGATGAAATAGTCAGATATTGTGTTTGTTAGGTTTTATCAGGGTTGTACAGGCCTAGATGGCTGATGCTGTAATTTTATACATCCCAACATAATGCCTGCTGTACACTCTCAGAATAAAAGTACTTGGGTGGTAGCCTCAATGGTACACCTTTTTGCACGTTTAGTAAGTAATCTTTTACTTATTAAGGCACATGTAGTGTAGAGCGAGCTGTCATTTATTGAGCATTAAAGTAAATATCCCACACTTGGGTGACTTTTCCTGTTTAATGGGATTAAAACAGCAAAAGTCCTGCAGCCCCAATTTAAAAAAAATTGCGATGCTGTATAAAATATAAATAAAAACAATGCGATGATTTGCAAATCTCACAAACCCATATGCTATTCACAACAGAACATAGAAAACATGTCAAATGTTTAAACTGAGGAAATGTATCATTTTACAAATAAAAATAAGTAATTTTGAATTTTATGACCACAGCACGTCTCAAAAAAGTTGGGACGGGGCAACAAAAGGCTGGAAAAGTAAGCGTTACTAAAAAGAAACAGCTGGGGGAACATTTAGCAACTAATTAGGTTAATTGGCAACAGGTCAGTATGATTAGGTATAAAAAAAAAGAGTATCTTAGAGCGGCAGAGTCTCTCAGAATTAAAGATGGGATAGAATCTGGATAGAAGCATATGTTGCTCTAAAACCTGTATATACCTTTCAGCATTGATGGTGCCTTTCCAGATGTGCAAGTTGTCCATTCCATCTGCACTAATGCACCCCGATATCATCAGAGATGCAGGCTTTTGAACTGAGCGCTTATAAAAAGCCGGATGGTCCCTCTCCTTTTAAGTCCTCTTTAGTTTAGAGGCGTCTATTGTTTCCAAAAATAATTTCAAATTTCGATTTGTCTGACCACAGAACAGTTTTCCAGTTCGCCTCAGTCCATTTTAAATGAGCTTTGGCCCAGAGAAGATGGCAGTGTTTCTGGATCATGTTCACTTCTTCTTTGCATGATAGAGCTTTAATCAGCATTTGTGGATGGCACGGTGAATTGTGTTCACAGACACTGAGTTCTGGAGGTGTTTCTGAGCCCATGCAGTGATTTCCATTACAGAATCATGGCTGCTTTTAATGCAG